AGAGTGACCACCCAAATCCAATAGCCCCATGAGGTTAAGTTAACTTGACCAAACAATCGACCTCCTTTCTCATTTTCTGGGTCAAGTATGAAGAACATATGGGAAGGGGTATCTGATTACTGGGACCAGCACTGGGGCCAGGGAGGAAGTTGGAACTGGAGCCAAAGCTACAGAATTGGAGCTGGGAAAAGGGAAGAGAATCTAAGCCGGCCCCAAGAAGAGCCTGCAGAGATTAGATTCGCCGCTTGCTGACAACCAAGGCAATGGCACTGCACAAATGAGAACAGCGAGTTGGTAGAGATCAAGTGACCCACATGGGAGCTGTGGAGTGGAGTACCAGTTCATTCCATTGTCCCAGAACCCATAACTGGGTGGGTGCTCTTAAGGATGGAACCATCAAATTCAAGTTTGCTTGCTCTTAGTTGACTTTGAAAATCAGTAGCTTTGGAGGCAATGAGCTAAGCAAGTCTCCTGATTCAACTGACATCTCTGATTTTCGGCTTAAAATTATAAAAGTCACCTAACCTCCCACACACACCTGGCCCATCACACCTAGCCCAGGTGTGCGTGAGCCAGCCCTGAAATTGTGAGCATGGGAGAACTATCTCTATTACCCTCCCCGCCACCCTCCACCCCTGCCCATCAGTGCCTGGGACAGGTGGGAGAGCTGGCCCTGTGGTCATATGAGCAGAGGACCAACCCTGTTAGCACAGGCATGGACGGGTCAGCCCCAAAGTTGTAGACATGGGAGAGCTTTCCCCACTTCTCATCTAGCAGACCAACTGCACGGGCCCAAACTCAGGGTTATGACTTGACCCGACCTGTCATCCACCCCATCTGTGATCTGCTAACGTGAAGGGACCTGACCCGCAGAACAAAGCTGCAGAATCTCCACAACACAGCGCAACAACAAGAGATCCAAGACGAGTCCTAGTGAGGGCCCAGTGTCAATAGTGTAGTAGAAACCAGAGGCCTCGAACCAGACCAGTGACTCTGCAATGAACACTTGCAAGTGAAGATACATGGGTTTACCAGTGACTCACTGTGTCACACTGCAGGCAGACTTCTGTGAGTTCAAGGCCAGCCTGGTCTACAGAACAAGTTCCAGGACAGTCAGGGACACGCAGAGAAACCCTGCCTCAAAAAAACAAAACAAAAGTCACCTAGGGAAGCCACTGCCCCTCTAGCCGACAGGAGTGTCTAATGGATGATGCAATCAACATTGGCACTGCAGGCTCTACTCTTAGAACTGGGAAGGCTGAGGCAGGATGGTCGCTGAAAGTTTGAGCACAACCTAGGTTTCATAGCAATGCCTTGTCTCAAATAAAGAAATAAGGGTGAAAATGCCAGACTTCCACTATTTGGGCTTGTGTCCTCTGCTGCTTTAACCTCTGGGTCAGATCCTGCTGAACTCTGCACATACGCATATTAGTCATTTGGTGAATGTTTGCCTGGACTCCCAGGACAAGAGCAACTTACCCTAACCTCTCTCCTCCCAGTCCAAGGCTAAAGACACCAAGACAAGAGTAACTAAGATGTTTTCAAGATTTCACAGACACATCACTACCTTGTGACTACACATGCATCAGCCGCGTTTCTCGGTGTCCTACTCCAGATCACGGAGAAGGCACAGGGAATCTCGAGTCCCTCCTATCTATGACCCACGTCTTTCCCTCCTGTTTAACGATAGAAGGGCCTTGACTGCTGGATTAAGGTGATGTCTATCCAACCGTCATCCTGTTTTGCTGGGTTTCTGGACTAGGTCTTTTTACTTTTTACTTGTCTTGTTCCCTGGGCTCCCTTCTGAGTTGCTGAGCAAGAAATCAGCTTGGATTCGGCAACTCACCTTGGCCTTCAGTCTCCCTTTCCACAGAGCATTAGAGAGTTTTCTGTGGCTGAGCCGCACAATAAAAGGGTGGTATGACAGAGGTGAGGTTGCTACATTTCTCATCCCAGCGCAATTCCAGGAGGAATGGGGGAAATCTGGCCACAGATCCCTGACAAGCAAGGTGATGTCCAGACCCTCCTCTGCCTCAGCATGAAGAAGAGGGAGGCTTGTTAGTCTGGATTCAACAGTCTGATGTCAGTTAGTTTCAAATACCAAAAGGAATGTCTAGCTACTTTGAAACCTCTCCAAGTGGGTGAAACCTTGGAGGCAGCTAGATAAGTCTGGTCTTGCTAGCCCAACTGACTGTCCAAATCCAAAACTGAGGTGCCTGCACCCATGCATCACCAAAAGAAATTAGAGTTCACAGAGGCAACCACCTGCAAGGAGGTCCCATCTCCCTGTGACTCGGTTTGATGTACTAGGTACATCTGAACCATATTCAGCCAGGTCCCCTCCAGATCACACAAAACACAAAGTTCAGGAGGTGGCTTCAGAAGGAGGAAAGAGGCCCAGTGTCCCACAGGGATGAGGAGTTTTCTTATAGATGTAGGTCAAGTCCAGACACTGGTCCTTAATGTTTCCTCGTCCGCAAGGTGCAGGTACTGGAAGGATTAAATGGCTGCTGCATGAGTAGGCCAAGAACCTAGTCAGAAGCAGCGCTCCGCAAAGGGCGGAAGCTGCCCCTCTCCGCTTTCCCATCTGTAAAAAAGCTTTAATGATAGCCCCTTTGGGTCACCACAGGGCTGAAATGACAGTGTGCTCACAGGAGCTTTGAGAACTGCCCCAGCATGCTAATTACTGGCATCATGACTCCCTGACCCATACTTACCGATCCCTCTCCAACAAGGTGTCAAGAAGGTGGGCTTTTCTCTTTTTATTACCATGGAAAGAGACCATTTGTCCGAGAGGGCCTGCCTGGCCTCTGTCTCCCAGCCCTAGATGTGTAAGGAGGACAGAGCACTGAGATCAAGTTGCTGTCCCATGGCCGCTCACGGGGCCCCTTCCCCCTCTTCACAGCTCTGTACGATCTACTCTGCAAGTGGCCCACACACAGCAGTTTCCCAGGGAAGAAAGGTCCAACTTGTCTCCTCACGTGGCTGGGGCTTCTCAGAGCCTGGCCCTTAGCTCCTGATGTACCTTAGAGTGAGCACTGCAGGAGGCTAAAGCAGAAGCTGAAAGTTCTTAAATTGTGTTTCAGAATTCCCAGGGAATCATTTCTGCTGCATTTTATTCATTGCACAAATCATTAAGACTGGCAGGAGGAACCTGCATAAAGGAGTTGTCATCTAATCTCTGCATGTACACCACAGCATACACAACACCCTCATCACTCACACACACACACACACACACACACACACATCCATAATGTCAAATTCTTTAATAATTTGAAGTTTATTCAGCAGCAAATTGTAGAAAACTTGGCTGACAGTGTCTTTAATCACTTTGCATAAGTCTGCTGTAGGTAGTTGGGGTTGGGAGGAGGGCCCAGGGACACATCTGAAATCTAGTGTCCTTTCATTGTTTTGTTCTTTAAACCTACAGCACATGGTCCCCTACACGGTGTTTGTTGATTCCTGATCACAACATGGCTGCTATACCTGCAGGTCTCATTGTCCACGCTCTAGGTGGAAGACATAGCGACGATGAAAGCTGAAAAGCTTTGTCCTCAAGAGCCTTCGCCTTGTTAACGTGGCAGAAATCACCTCTCTGTGTAGGGCTTCACCTACATCTTTTGGGGCTTAGCAATGTCATATGGCTACTTCTAGCTGGGTATGTTGACATCGTAAGAGAAGGAAAAAAAAGATCACACAGAGCTCTGAAGAGGAGGAAAGAGCCCAGTGACAAGCCGTGTGACAGCCACTTGTCTCAGTGCTCTGTCCTCTCTGCATATGTAGGGCTGGGAAACGAGGCCAGGCAGGCCCTCTGGAACAAATGGTCTTTGTTCACAGTAATAAGAAGAGAGAAGCCCACTTCCTTGACGCCTGCTGGTGAGGACCCAGTAAGCTGATTGACTTAGGGTTTCTAAACTGCAAGTTGGGGAAGAAGAGTTTGTTGGGCTTCTCATGGCTTGCTCAACCTGCTTTCTTACAGAAGCTCAGACCACCAGCCCAGGAGTAGCCCCACCCACAATGGGCTGGGCCCTCCCATCAATCACTAAGTAAGAAAATGCTCTATAGGCTGGCCCTCAGCTGGATCTTAGGGCGGCATCTTCTCAACCGAGGTTCCCTCCTCTCAAATGACTGTGGCTTGTGTCAGGTTGACATAAATCTAGCAGCACACTGATGGTTCTGTCTGAGCCCCAGTCACACAACCAACACCAAGTACACAGCATGCTGAGAGAGAACCCTTGGGTGAGACCCCCCACAACTATTTCCATCCTACCCACAGAACCAGGAGAGATATAAATGTATGATTCCACCCACCATATCTTGGAGTGGTTCATTATGCAACAACAGGTAGCTAGTAGGGCATCTCTGAGTCACTGAACTAAACTTGAACTCTCCACCAAGAAGTCAAATGCCAGTTTAGTTAAGCCACCACAGGTCAGGCCTTGGGTAACTTCCAAATGCTTGTATGAATGGTACAAAATCCAGCAGTTATCAAAACCCTTCAAGAATAATAACTTCAAAGATGAAATTGGGTGGAGATGAAATGATTGTAGTTGTAGGTCTTTTATTTGTTTGTTTTTGTTTTGTTTTGTTTTAAGGCAGGGACTTACTATGTAGACCAGGCTGGCCTCAAACTCCAAGAGACCTGCTCCCTCTGTCCCTGCTCCTGCCTCTGTCCCTGCCCTTGCCCCTGCCCCTGCCCCTGCCCTCCCACCCCTGCCCATGGCCCCCCACCCCTACCCTTGTTCCCAAGTGCTGGGATTAATTAAAGGTTGTACCACCATGCCCAACCTGCCTTTTTAAGATATGTTTCTTAACAAAATAAAATGTTATTAACCTACCTCAATTCCCAAAACCTCATCTATGTGAAACCCTGAAGAGCAGAACCTTTGGCCTCAGGAGGGCTGGGGAGTGGAAGGTGCTGGAAACCAGAGCACTTTCTGTTTCCAGCCCTTTTACTGATCCAGCTAAAGCACAAAGCATCACTGGCCACTGCAATATTATCCACAAACAAACAAATAAACGTTTATTTAGTACAAGATTCAGAAAGATAGAGAACCCCATTAGCCAAGAAGACACATGGCAGGGAGTGGCGCACTCTGCTTCAGGGCCTGTCTGAGGACCCCAGGAAGAAGTCATTGCAAATCATAGTGACGAGTGCCAGAAACACAGCATACTCCTGGAAGTCCACCTCCTGGTCATTGTTCTCATCAAGGTCACTCATCAGCTTCTTTAGCCCCTCCTCATTCACCTTCTCCTGAAGATGACAGGGAGCAGAGCTGTCACCAAGCTGGCCCCTCTCCTACCCACTGCCAAAACCTCCCCTTTACAGCAGCATCCAGCGTCCCCTCCCCCACAGCAGGGTGTTCAGGAATACTGAAGGCAACAGCCATCAGTAAGCCCGTTCGCACACAGACTTAAGGGCCACTCCAAAGACCGGTGAAGGGAAAGCTGATGGGGAGACCCTGAGCCCCACCCTGGCACTGGCACTAGCAGGCCTCTCGAGAATGAAAGCCAGAAGAGATTTACTCTGTGTCCTGTGTCCCGTCCCCACCCCCACTCTTCAGGACTCTTCCCCCTCCCCCCCCAGCCTCACTTACCCCCACAACACTAGGCAGTTCCTTATTCAGAAGCTCCTTCATCTCCCCCTTGCTGAGTTTGAGCTTGTCCCCCTCTCGACTGGAGTATTTGTGGAAGGTGGAGATCATCACACTCATGGCCTCTTCCAGGGGAGTGGACATCTTGGATCTTGAGACACAAAAGAACACCGCTGAAGCACTCGGGGCCTCGAGACCAGTCTACAGGACTGCCCCACTAAGCTCCTCTAGGAATGGCAAGTCAGTGCCTGCACCCTGCCCTGGAAGCGTGCCTCCCTAAGGCCGCGGGTCCACACACCCTGCCCTGGAAGCCTGCCTCCCTAAGGCCTCGGGTCCACACTACCACTTCATACTGCAGCCAGATGGTAAACCTCTCCTGTGGTCTGGGAGTCACCTAAAGCAGAACCTCGTGTCCTAAGGACACACCGCTGCGGGTAGGCCTCCCTACTTGAGTGTCTGTGGGAGGCAGAGAGGGGACCGGAGGAGGTTGCAGGATGACTCCTCTCTGTCTGTGCCAGGAATGTAGAGCACAAATGTGTCCATGGGCTCCTAGGATTGCTTGGCAGTAGCCATGGGGACAGCCCAGAAGTATGAGGCTCCGTGAAGAGGTCAAACCTTTGTGCAAACTCTAGTCTACTGAAGTCAGGGTCCTTGTCATCTAAAAGGAAGCTCCCTTAGGAGGGAATGCTTCCTCCTTCAGACCTGGGACTCCCCCTGGGTGACAGTCTGGCTCTTTGCAGACAGGTGGTGGGATGGAGGGGACTGAACACCCTCCCCAACAGGAAGGATTCTGTTGAGGTTAGAACTAAAAAAATTTAAATGGCTGGGGATCAGGCTAGAAGCTGAAGAGAAGAGGTCAGAGTTCACAAGTCACTTTTTCCAGATTCCTCTAAAAATATTGGGTGGGTTCCAGGGTAAGGCCAGAGGAGCCAGTGCTGTAGGCAGGGAAAGCCTTGGGTGTTCCCGGCCAGCCCTGCCCAGCCAGCCCCACCCTCACCCTCTTAGAAAAGCACCGGAAGCAGCCTTGGGCAAGGCTCTGCCACGACACAAGGCCAGGGACCCAGAGAGGGCTAAGCACTGAGACTCTGTCTCTGGCTTCTTAGTCCTAATAGAATCCAAGGCTTTGCAAAAGCAAAAGCAAAACAAACTCAGTACTGACTGTTTTTGTGACAACATCTCACTGTGCAGCCCAGTCAGGCCTTGGCCTCGGTGACTTTCCTACCCGTCTTCCGAGTGCAGGATTACAGATACTCTCCATTGTAGTTGCATCTGGCTCAAAGTGGGGATTCTTATAAAAGCACTCCTCATATAACCATGACCTAGTCCTAGGCCTACACCCCAAAAATGGGACCCTAAACAGACATGTCTAAAGTGAGAAACACGGAGACCTCTCCCAGACGGAGATGGGAGAACAGGCCACAGATCAACCACCAAGTCCTGGCAGGGGAATCTGGGAAAGGCCCTCCCGTCCAAAACTTTGCAGAGGGTTCTTCAAATAGGAGATCCCACTAGGAAGTCAGAGAAAACTACATGAACAAGGATCAAGACAGCGGGGCAAAGATAGAAACCCAGGTCCTCTGTAGGACAGAGGCACTCACCAACCAGGTGGCAGAGAGGCCCAGGAGGGAGTAAAGTGGCCAAGACACCAAGAGCAGGGATTTATATGCCAGACTGGCCTCCGATTTGTCATTTTTGGGAAACAGAACCTGTCTCAACCTGATCTTGATAAAATCTGACCTCCTTCCACTGGACACACCCCGCTTAGTCCACTCCCTCTCAGACAGCACTGGCCTCAGCACCTGCTGGAGGAGCATCCAGCCCAGCCAAGGGCATCCCTGAGCTCACCCAGGCCTCAGCAAGGAGACAGAGGCATTGTGGGAAAGGGGGGCCCAATCAGGGATGGGGTGGCAGCTTTTGTTCTGGGGCCTAGAGAATCATTCCAAGCCTGGTTCTCATATTATGCCTGTGAGTCACAGCTCCCTCCTGTGTAAGAGGGCGCAGGGACACAGGGTGGGAGGACACTTCACAGCCTGTGCTCAGGGGTGCGTGTGCGTGTGCGTGTGTGTGTGTGTGTGTGTGTGTGTGTGTGTGTGTGCGTGTGTGCATGTGAGAGAGACAGAAAGAGATGGAGAGCAGTCCAGGCCACCCTTAGAAAGCCGGGCTCCAAAAGAGCAGCTGGAGACATACAGAGGAGGATGTCAGGAGGTCTAAGAAATCTTCTGTTGTTTGTTTTGTTTTGAATGTCCGGCACCAGAATCCCTCTTAAAGAGGGCAGCAAAGCAACTGGGTGTGCTTAAGACTGCTTCAAAATGAGCAGTGGCGATTGCTCTGCACCAGACACAGATGCAGTGAGCGGCAGTTTGTATAGGGCGCAGAGGAGGAATAAAGGGAGACATGAGCCTCCTTTTCTTCGTTTCACAGGGAGGTGAGTGGGTGGGCGTGACTCCCCTACCCAGAGCTGAAAACAGGGGCCTGAACCCAGTCATGGCCATCCCTCAGGCCCTCACCTGTCCCCAGTGTGTCTTCGCCATGGAGAAAAACAAACACTGTGTCCTTCAGCTGGGCCTCAGGGAAGAGCTGACCTCGAGACTTCAGACTCCACACTGCCCCCTTCTGCTCTTTCCCCCATCCCCAGTGGGCACCTCCCTTCCTGTGGGCCCAGTTCCCTTCCCTCCCCAGACATCAAGCAGCCTCTCTCTGCTCCCCCAGTGCTGGGTGACTAACCCACGGTTCCAGGCCCAGATGCCCAGGTGGTGACTAAGCGCCACACCCTGCTCCCCAGGGCCAGAGCTGCAGCCAGAAACCCCAACCCACAAACACCAGCGTGGAGCCCCTCACCGGGCAGCACAGAGGGAGAGGACGAAGGTGATACCCTGAATCTAAGGGCTAGCAGAATCAGACCCCCAGGACTCTACCAGGGCCACCATGGGGACCAGCCTGCACAGCACAGATTAAGTGGGTCTCGGGTCCTCCAGTGTCCTCTTCTGTGCCTTCGCAAAGTCACCCAGGGTCCCTGCTTTCCCAAGGCACATGTACCCCTCCTCCCCTCCTCATGATGCTTCCCTTCCTGTCACAACCCTCTTTAGGTAGAGCAATAAAAACTCTCCGCCCTGAGGAGGGGCCCACGGGAACCGAGCACTGCAGCTCACGCTCAGCAGGGTGCCTCTCTGCTCAGAAACGACCTTGCATCCGTAAAGGGCACAGTGAAACACTCCGCATGCTAACACCTGCTGCTTTCCAGCCTCCCTGCCACTCCTCGCTGAGTGAACAAGGGAGCAACAAGTACGTAGTGAGGCCAAGACCCTTGGCTTGGCTGTTGACTCTGCTTAGAATGTACCCACACCCACACACAGGTGTCTCCTTCTGCTGAGATCCCATCTGCCCTCAGAAGGCCACTTAAAAGGCCTTCTCTCACCCAACTAGATTCCGTTTCTACCTGCCCCGGCACATACAAAGCGCCCCTTGTGTCCTCCCTCCCTCCTGTCCTTATCGTCTTCCTACTTAGGCAGATTCACTTGTGTACTCTGCTTCCCCTCGCCCTCGCCATGCGGTGAGCTCACTGATGAATGCTGGGCCTTATTCACTTCTGCATGAGCACAGGATCTCGCCCACGCCGGGTGCCGCCCAGCGTTTATGACTACTAACTAGCCACAGGGGTCACTGGGACTGGTGGGTAGGTAGGGGCAGGGAGGGGAGAGGAGGAGTCTCTTCTCTCCCTGCCTGGAAGCACACCAGTGATCACACTAGTAAATAATAACTTCTCTGAGTCCCAGGAGTGGCAATGAGACAGAGTTGGAAAACAAAGCCTCGGAGTGCTACAAATCCCTGAGGAGTGGCCACAGGAAACATCCTGCCATGGGGACCCAGGAAAGGGATGGAGAAGCAAAGTCCCCAGAGGGCGGGAGTGGACACTGGAGGCTGGCAAAGAGGGGAGAGAAGCAGTCGGGTGGAAATCAGGCAAAAAGAAGGAATATGGGGGGTGGATCAAAGAGAGCGCAGTAGAGACAGAGGAGCCAGGGAGAGAGGGACAAGATGAGAGAGGGGACTGTACAGAGGTGGCAGGACTTGGACACCTGTCTACAGGTGTCTCATCTCAGACATGGAGGCCATATCGGTGCCCCGCCCAATGGCAGCGCTCCTGAAACTTCGAAGAGCAGACTGACTTGCCTCTCTGACTGACTCTGTGTGACCTTGGACATCTGCATTTGGAACGTCAGGACAGACAACATCGAGTGGATGAGCCCACCCCCCTTCCAGCGCCCCCAAACCCCAATCTGTTCTGACACACTCCAGCAGAGAAGCCAGGACAGAGGCATTCCAGGCACTGACTGCCCACATCCAGCCCCAGCTGGGTCCTCAAGGTCCATCCACGCCCTCCCAAGCGCTGAGTGACAGCAGTTGCTGGTTCGTTTTGCCTATCCCTCTTCTGCCTTCTGGTGGTGGAGATGTGTCATTGCAATGTAGTTCTCCGCTCTTGCCCCCCAGGCTCACCAGTTAGCTGTTCACAAGCCTCAACATGATTCACCAAGGAGGAGGCAGCAGTGATTCATCTCCAAGGAGCCTTCCCACACCCACACCTGCTCCGCATACAAGGGGTTTCCTGGATAGTCCCTGCTGAGAAGCCTAGGTGGACTGAACTGGAAACCTGATACCAGGAACCCGTTTCAAATGCCTGGGGTAGGATTGGGGCAGCAGGAGGTGTCAGAAATGTGAGCCTGTTCTCACTCACTCCTTGGGGGGCAGTTCAGTGAAAAAGAGAAATGGCCTCACTATCAGAACTCCGAGTAGGGGTGCTGTCCCTGGCTCATCCTGCAGTGCTGAGTAAGTAGTACCACACCTCAGAGCCTAAGCCTTTTTGCCACAAGGATCACTTTTAATATCCCCTGTACCCTAAAATAAGCTTTGAAGTTCTTTTCCTTATCAAATCGCATGAAGTCATTCATGATCCGCTCTATAAATCCTACCCATGACTCTCCCCGTGTAGCACAGTCATTATATGAGAACCCACGCCTTGCATTCTTGATTGCTTACAGGGATGTGTGCATTCCTGTGGCTGTGGAGTACCTACTATGTGCCAAGTGCTTCCATAGATTGTCCCACGTAAGTTCGTGAGACAATCCCAGGAAGGTGGACAATCTCACCCTTCTTGATAGAAATGAAAATCGGGCCTCCAGGACATGTTTCCACCCAACCAATAAGGGAGGAGAGAAAATTTAAAGCCAGGTGATTTAGCGGTGCTAAATGTCTCCAGTGATGCCAGGAGGCCTTAAGGATAGTTGCTGCTCAGACCAACCCCCATCTGTCCAGCAAAGCGGACTCAAGTCTCGGCCACACTGGGGTCCAGGAGCCTGTCTTCTCGGCATCTCTGCTCCCGGCACCTCTTCCCGTTGACGTCAAATGTACCGTAGCCTGGATTTGAAATACACTAAACAGAAAGCTTTGTCAGCCCCCCCCCCAGTAAAGACTGGATCTCATTCATTTCTGCACGAGCACCAGATCTCGCCCACATCAGGTGCCTACCAGTGTCTACAGCTGCTGAGTGACAATGGGGGGGGGCAGCTGGGGGTGGGAGCCAGAGGGCCAGGGAGCCCTCCCTTTTCTCCCTGCCTGAAAGCACACCAGTGATTACGCTAGCAAACAATAACTTCTCCTGTGAGCCTCAGGAGTGGCAATGAGACAGGGTTGGAAAACAGAGTTAAAGATCCCCAAGGAATGACCACAGGAAACACCCTGCCATGGGGACCAAGAAAAGGGAGTTGAGCAAAGTCTCCAGAGGGCAAGGATGGAGTCCGGAGGCTGACAGATAGAAGAACCAGACGTCCCCCATGCCACAAAGAATATTGTCATCCGCCCATGGCCCAAACCAGACACTTGGCTTCCTCCCAGCCTCCTGCTTCCCCTGGCTGCTAACCACATGTCTGGTCAGCCTGCTTGTTGCTAAGCATGCCTGGTTCCTGTCCACACTGCTTTAGGCCTCTTTCAAATCATCTGGCCTTGCTGCAGATTCTCTCCAGCCCTGTTCCTGGGCCTCACGCTAACCCCTCCTCAGCTCTGCCTGCGGGCTAATGATTTAAAAGTTCAAATTTCTCCAGATTAGAGCATTCGGTGAATTCTCCTAACTTTTAGGAGATACAGGCATGGCATCCTATTCTGGGCACACTAACTTTGCTGTGGTATAGGTCATACTTTTTCATGCCCCCGAAACCTCTCTGCCCATGCCGTGTACTCTCATGGGAAGCCTTCCTCTGAGGAGCTGCCCATCAGCCTCTTTGATTTTTTTGAAGATTTTATTTATTATTTTATGTGCATGAGTGTTTATCTGAATGTATGTATGTCTGTGGGCCACATTCATACGGTGCGCAAGGACACCAGAAAATAATATCAGACCCCAGGGACTGGGGTGACACACTGTTGTGAACCTGAGTCCTCTGGAAGAGCAGCCAGGTGCTCTTAACCCCTAGGCCATATCTCCAGGCCCAGCACAAGCCTCGTAATCACCCTTCCAGCTCACCTCAAAGGTCATTTCCTCTGGGTACAGGCCCAAATCCACTCCCCAGGTCTCCTGCATGCTTGAGCAGGCCCATGCTCACACTTAGGCGCTCCCCCACCAGTCCCTCAGTCTCTCGTTCATGGCTCTACAGCATCATTTTTATTAATTCTGACTTTAAATATCTCTCCCACTAGAAATAGCCACTAAGCTTCATGAAACCCTCCATTTCCTAGTGCCTAGCACAAAATAAACGTCTGACAGATGGTGACTGGAGGCTCAAGTGCTGTCCCTCACAGCCAGTACCTTCTCTCCTTCCTGGACTACCCTACCTCCAGATACACCCTGTCCTCTGCGCGCGCGCGCGCGCGCGCACACACACACACACACACACACACACACACACACACACATACACACACGAACCTTCTGAAAACTGACTCCTTACCATTCCGTGGGATCAGCTCTCTCCAGTGCCACCAGAGATTCCCTTCTTGGGTTGGAGAGGGAGCAATTTGACGCCCCCCCCACACACACACACCTCAGAAGAGTTCTTCTGAGGGAACGATTCACTCCAGGCGCCCGCTCCACCTCGGTGAGAAAACTCTGTTCTCCCCTCACCACTGACGCTGCTCCTTCTCACCCAGCCTAGCCTCATGAAAAGGGCACCCTTCTGCGTTCCCTTCCGCTACCACCCCCATGGGGTCTGTGGCTGGGCAGCTTCTGCCTACGGGGAGGTGTGGCGCAGGACCATGCTGCGTGGCTTTTCCTGGGGGCACGTGACAAATGTCTGTAGCGAACTGCTGAGTTTGTTGAGGTCCCTCACGGGCGCATGGCTGACTCAGAGGTAACTGCATTACCGAAAAGCCCACCCTAGCATGGATAACAAGGGTGGGACGGCACCCTTGGTACACCCTGCACTGCTTGCAGGCAGCTCAGCCGATCAGCAAGTCTCCTCTTAGAAGTCCTTTCGGCTTCTCTACCTGCAGGGAGGCACCACTGTGAATCTTGGTTTATGAGCTTCCGGAGATATGTAACTTTTGTTTACTGCCTGGGCTTTAGATCTTGGAGCTGGAAAGACGATAGATGGTTTAGCAGTTGAGAGCACTGTGTGTTCTTCCAGAGGACCCAGGTTTCCAGAACCTGTAACTCCGCTTCCAGGAGATCCAATGCCCTCTTCTGGCCTCCTTGAGTACTGCATGCACAAGATGCAGAGATAAGCATACAGGTGAGACATCCAACACATAAAGCAACGCAAAGATCTCATTGGCCTGCACTAGTTTCTTTTCCCATGACCGTGATGAAAATGCCTAAAGGAAGAAAATTAAGAGAGGAAGAATTTGTTATGATTCGTTGTCCAAGATAGTACGGTCCACCATGATGAGGAAAGCAGGGAAACAGGAGCAGCTCCATGTTGGGATAGAAGGATCCTGGGGCACTGGTTACATCATGTCATCAGCCAGAAAGAAGTCAACCAGAAGTTGGACAATTCTATAACTCCTCCCAGTGACCCACTTCCTTTATCTAGGTCCCATCTTCTAAAGGTTTCTTAGTTTCCTGAATCAACACTGCCTTCTGTGGACCAAGTTTGTAAACACATGAGCTTGTGGAGGACAGTTCCCACCCAAACCATAACACTCTGTGCCTAGCTGGACGGTCTTATGACCATCGCACAATGCAGGATGCATTCATGTATTCCAGACAAACTTTAAAAGTCACTGGAGTTGCTGGGGGGATGGCACAGTCCATAAAGTGATTGCTGCTCAAACCTGAGAACCTGAGTCTGAATTGTCAGAACTCATATAAATAGTTGGGTAAAAGCCTAGTGCTGGGGGCAGGGGACACAAGAATTGTTAGGGCTTGCTGGTCAGCTAGTCTAGTCAACGGATGAGTTCTAGGTTCAGTGAGAGATGCTGCCTCAGATATAAAATTAGACAATGATTCAGGAAAACAGTCCAACTTAGCCTTTGGTCTCCACATGTACACACACAAATGTGTGTGTGTATTATATAAGTTTATATATTAAATATGTAATATATTTTATATATATCACACAAAAGAAAAATAAATAAAGACCAAAAAGTTCCTGTACTCTCAGAATTCCAACACTGTTCAGAAGTCCAAAGTCTCTTCTGAGACTCAAAATAAATCCTTAGCCAAGAGCCCCTAGAAAACCAAAACCAAGTAACATACTTTCAGTGTACAATGATACAAACAAACCCATTCTAAAATGAAGGAATGGGAAAATATCAAAAGAACAGCAGACTAAAGAAAGACTAGGATTCAAACAGATAGACACCAAACTCTGCAATGCATAATGACCACTATCTGGAGCTCATGACAGCATCTTCTGGGCTCCAACAGGTTTGTACACTCCCATTCCTCCAGCCTTCAACCTGTAGCATGTGTGCTCTCTCGTGGCCTGGGTCTTTTCAGTGGCTGCAAAAGTCCAAATTTCTGGCATCTCACACTCCCTGGAATGGCCACTGAAACTCGGTTTCAACATCATGCAGTCCACTCAAACCCAAGGACTCCATGCAGAGAATGTAACATTGTTACATACTGCCTGACCTCAACAGCTTTGGACAACCTCGGCGCAAACTTCCATCAGTCCATGCATGAGTGAGTTTTGTTTGACTGCCAAACAGGTACTACATGGAAAATAACACCAAATTTTTACTGCCAACTTGAAATGTAGCCCCTGGTATCCAAGTGCCTATGTGACTTAATCAGGGACAGCCATTTCCAAGCAAGAAACCCCCATGTGGAGGCACTCTCCTTTGCAGACCCTGTCCTTTAAAATGGATGCTTCCAGAAAGGTGCACAGCTTTATGCCCTGAAGCCTTCAGCGAGTAAGATCTTGCCTTTAATGCACCATTCCTATTGTCCCAAAGCAAGCTGCATAGTTAGTCCTTAACTATGCTCCTTGTTCTCCTGTCTTTGGAATTGTAGCCACTTTATCTGCAAAAACCTTATCTGCCCTTTCTGCAACTTTTCCTTGACTCATGGTCCTGTGCACATTAAACTGTTCATCTTCCACATTTTTTTCACACCACTATCTGCTCAGAATTTTCCCTGGAAACATAGCTAAAGGCAGTGATCAATAATCATGTAACAACCTGAATGCTGTGCTTTCTGGCAATGTTCTCTACAGAACAAATTAGCCTATTGCTTCTGAGTTCAACTTCACTCAAACTTTTAGGAAATAACACACAACCAATTTCTTTATCTGAATGTGTCTAGCCCAGCGTCTAATAATTCCCGTTTTGGTTTTAGATATTGGGTTTTTTTTCCTTGATTTTCATTGTTCTTTTTTGAGTCATTTCATTGTGTAGTTCAAGCTGGCCTCAAATTTGCTATGTAGCCAAGGATGACCTTGAACTCCCAATCCTGCTGCCTCCACTTTCCAAGAATTTGGATCATAGGCATGCACTGCCACTGTGAGTCCTCATGAATCTAAACAGTGTCCATTTATTTATCAATAGTGTGGTCTCCTGAGCACTTATCAGAATGTTCCAGTAAGCTCTGACTACGGAATGTTAGGGCCTTTCAGCTTGTTTTTGTTGTGGTTTGGTTTGGTTTTGGTTTTTGTTTTGTTTTGTTTTTGTTTTTCAAGACAGGGTTTCTCTGTGTAGCCCTGGCTGTCATGGAACTGGCTCTGTAGACCAGAGATCCACCTGCCTCTGCCTCCTGAGTGTATGGTCAATTCTATAACAGCAACAGATTACTGTATTATTTACACCCTCATCACTCTAACCAACCCTTGACAACTTCAAGGAGGAAGGATTTATTTGGGTTCACAATTTGGGTGGATAAAATCCATCATAGAGGAAGGTGTGTGACTATGGGTGGCTTCACGGCTGTAGGAGCATGAGGCAGTGGCTTGCTACAGGGTGCCATCCAGGAAGCAGGGAGTTCATGGTGTACCTGAGCATGGGCTAAGAGGCCACCTCCTGTATCCTCAAGTCTGTAAACAGGCCCCAAGTCCAAAAGGTCTCTCAGTTTCCCAAAATAGCGCCACCATCTGGGAACCAACTATTCAAACGTATGAGCCTGTAGGAGAGAATTAGCATTCAAACCACAACATAGCCTCAGCTTTAAATTACATCATCTCATCCATGGCTGTGATTGGGGGCCCTACTTCAGCCCTTCTCAGAACTTCAAAGGGAAGAAGGTGGGAATAATTAGCCCTCTCCAAACCCCAAAACTCAGATCTTTGCCTTCTCAGCCTCTCTGTTGCCATTTATAACCATTCACTAGAGTCATTCTTCAGGGAAATGAGGTAAGGAAAACCATTCCTTGTTTCCCCAACCTCTAACCACCAAAACCACCATTGCATCCTAGTGAAAACTGATTAAAAAGAACACAATGAAATGGACCGTGCGGAAGTCCTCAGAGGAGTCACAGAAATTCTGACCCTCCCCCTTCCCTGCACTTATTATGCATCTCTTCATCAGCAACCTTTGCAATAAACTAAGACAAAGATAGCCAACGAAGTAAATAGCCTTGAAAATACAAAAGAATAAGGTAGCTGTGGTTGAGTGGTAGAGCATATTCCTGGAGAGAACAAAGACCTAGGTTCCGTTCCCAAAAGGAGAGAAAGGGATTGTGGAATAAACTCCCATAACGAACGCTGTCTTGGTAATCAGTAAACAAATTCTGAATACTTAATGAACAAACACTTTCTGAAGAAGCTCAGAAGGCTGGTGTCAAATGCTTGCCTCTCACTGAACAGCAGAATCAGGCAGATTAAGGACATAAAGTTATGGGAAAGTGGGGCTCGTGAGAAAGCTCGGCAGGTCAAGGTGCTTGCTGCCAACCCGAGGGCCCCCCATGGTGGAGAAGAGAAGCGATTCCCACAGTTGTCCTCTGACATCCTGATGTGCACCATGGCGTGTGTGTGTGTGTGTGTGTGTGTGTGTGTGTGTGTGTACATGGATAAGTAAGTGTGAACAAATTAAAAGAAGAGAGACTGACTCAGCCACGAGGTTACAGAGTAACAGTAACAGGAAAGGAAGCTCCAATATGCAGCTTTTCCTAGTACAGTCACAATGCCAGTCAGGAAGCTGTTTCTGAAGCTGAACAAACGTTGCTATCCTACTACACAATTTGGTTAATTTTTTGTTCTGTTCTGGATTTTTGTTTCTCTGTCTCTCTGTGTGTCTCTGTGTGTGTCTCTCTGTCTTTGTCTGTCTTTGTCTCTGTCTGTCTCTGTCTGTCTCTCTGTCTGTCGCTGTCTCTCTGTCTCTGTCTCTGTCTCTGTCTCTGTCTCTCTCTCTCTCTCCCTTGTGACCAGGACCTCATTATGCAACCTAAGGTAGCTTCCAACGCAAGATCCTTCTGCCTCAGACTCCCAAGTGACAGGATTGCCAGGCTGTGTCACCACATACAGCTGTCACTAAACAGTTTAGAAACCATCACTCACATGCAGATGCAGTTAGTCAGTGGTAAAAGCATCATCTAGAAATGTGATCTTTCTCAGAGTACAAGACTTCCGTATTCCGCTGTCACTGTCATTTGTGCCAGAGACTTCATCGGAAAACACCACATATCTAACACAAAACAAAACAAACAAAACAAACTCAT